CAAAGCGCTTCTTTCGAAGCTCCCTTCCTATGGGCTTCCCGAGAAATTGTGCGATTGGATCACCAGTTTTCTTGCAGATCGGAGCATCAAGGTCGTTGTAGACGGTGCAAGCTCCGATTGCAAGCTTATTAATGCTGGTGTTCCACAGGGCTGCGTGCTATCGCCAACGCTGTTTCTTCTGCATATCAATGATATGTTGCAAACCCGTAGCATTCATTGCTATGCAGATGACAGCACTGGTGATGCTCTTTACACCGGCCGAGCCAATATTTCTCGGGAAAACGTCTCTGAGTGCCGGGACAAACTTGTGTCTGAAGTCGAGTCTCTGCTGGACAGAGTCTCGGATTGGGGGCGACTAAATCTAGTCCAGTTTAACCCCCAGAAGACACAAGTTTGCGCGTTAACCGCTAAAAAGAACCCCTTTGTCGTATCCCCTCAGTTTCAAGGCACTCCCCTTGTTGCCTCAGCCAGTATCGGAATCCTCGGCGTCGACATATCGAGTGACGTGCAGTTTCGTGGTCACTTGGAAGGGAAGGCCAAATTGGCCTCTAAAAAGCTTGGCGTGCTCAGCAGAGCGGGACAGTATTTCATGCCGGCACACCGCCTGCAACTTTACAAGGCGCAGGTTCGGCCGCTCATGGAATACTGTTCCCATCTCTGGGCTGGGGCTCCCCAGTACCAGCTCCTTCCACTTGACCGCATCCAGCGCAGAGCGGCTCGAATCGTTGACGACCGAGTGCTTTCCGATCGGCTCGATTCACTGGCGCTGCGAAGAGATGTTGCATCTCTTTGCGTATTTTATCGCATCTATCACGGGGAGTGCTCTGAGGAATTGTTCGGATTAATCCCAGCCGCCAAATTTCGTGAACGCACTACACGGCAAACGTCCCGATACCATCCACACCATCTGGATGCTTGGCGGTCCACCACTGTACGTTTCAAAAGGAGTTTTCTTCCGCGTACAACCTCTCTGTGGAATAATTTACCACCGGTGATTTTTCCGGACCGATACGACCTGGGGACCTTCAAGAAAAGAGCTTACTCCTTTCTAAAGGGCCGGCAACGCACCTGCAATTCCCCTGGTGTTGCGGTTGATCATGGGCGGCGGTAGTCACTTAACATCAGGTGAGCCACATGCTCGTTTGCCCCCCTCTTCTATAAAAAAAAAAAAAAAAAAATTGTTGTATGGAAACCAAGTATTGGCTAGAGAAATTCGGGAGCAAATTACGGATTACGTTATTGTAGTAATTTTGTTGTCTATTTACAAAATAAAATACAAGCGTACAGTTTGCCCTATTCGTTTCTTGGTTCGTTTGTGGGTCCGTTTAATTGTTTCTTTCGTTTGTTTGTCTGATTGACCGACTAACTGAATGTTTTTATTCAGATTGGTGTCTTTATAATTCCTCGCGACAGTTTAATTTACAAATAAATCATCGTCACTTAGAATAGCGAAAGTAAGTACTGATTCCACGCGAACGAAGTCGCGGACACAGATAGTACTTAATATAATAATACATCTATTCAATCAAAATGTTTTAGAAGAATGCGCTTGGTATTGATTTCTAAACGCAATAGAAATGCGTTAATTCTATCTCCCTCAACATCTAGATTGTTATAATTTAAATATTATTCAGTACAATTAGAGAAAATAAAGAGGTGTTTTTTTCCATCAAACTACATTCACTACAATTAACACTTGATTTTGTAGCGTCGCTGTCGTCGCGTTACAAGCGAAACACATCGCGAAATAAATCGCGATATCAAATTTCCGAAGTAAAACAGTATAATATTATGTAGAATAACTACGAACTATCACAGGGAGCATTGGCCGCTACCGGGCAGAACACCTTGCCCGGCGGGAGGTCCACCTTTACATTCCACGGCCAAAAGTTTTCACAATCTGCATTTGAGAATGACGGAATATATTATGTCTGTGACAAATGAGCACACAGTCCACCTAATGGTAAGTGGACATCTACATGTATCCTCGATTACGAATCAAAATGTAGATGCGTTGTCACCCGTGAGGACTAAGATGGAATGCTTCGTTTCCAGTAAAAAAGGGTCTCCAGATCTCTTCACTCACCAAACGAAGCACATCAGCATTAAGCTACTATTTCACGCTGGTATTCTGTGAGAGCGTGGTCCTTCCCCGGTCGAGCCGACCCATTCGTGCTACAAATATACTACTAAACCACCGTTTAACTATTTCTGCTACCAAATAGCAGTTTTGGCGGCACTGCTTTGGCGGTCTCAAGGATACATAGAACCAGTATAGTTACACGCTGTGAGGCACTCCATCTTAGTCCTCAGAGGTGACCACGATTCTGTAGCCTCATTTGTGTGAAGTTAGCTGCAGGTGTTCCTGGTCTGCAGTAGCTACTTACCGTCAGTTTTACTGCAGGTAGCTTATAATTCATAATTATTTATTTACATAGTATGTAGGTGTCGAGGTAAGATGGTTAGCGCTCGCTGTGAATTTCACGATACGCGAGCAAATCGGGTTCGATCCCCGCCGGAACCAATGAAGTTGTTAGCTGCAATTTTAAGTAGTGCTTTACCACGTGCTCGGCATTGAAGGGAAACATCGTGAGGAAACCGGCATGTCTCAGAGAAATAATAAAAAAAAAATATTTCGAAGGCATGTGAAGTTCGCCAACACGCATTGGGGCAGTGCGGCGGACATTTCTTTTTCCTGAAACCGTCGCAGAAATGAGAGGAAGCCTGTGCCCAGCTGTGGGACGTATATAGCCTGTAACTTTAAACTTTTTATAGAATGTAGGTGCCGTGATAACTCAGATGGTTAGCATTCACTGTAAATTTCACATCTCACTCACTCCTTTAAAAAAAATTGATGGAATTTGGTGTTTCCCGTGTCTACGGATTTCATTTTACATTTACTATCAGATGGAGTCAGTTTGTATTTTTTGTTCTAGTATTCTGCAAAAGAGTCATTGTTTTAACAATTTAAAGAAAACAATAAATTAGACCGTTGCCGCTGTTATCGGCCATCTTTCCGCTGTCCGCCATTTTGATGATGTTTAGCGCGATCAAGATAACATTGCACTATGGCTGTGACTAATGTGACAATGTATTGTTGGCCTCAGCGAGACGCTTTTAAATTATTACGGTTTTAAAAGTAAAACACATGTTTATGGAATGCTAATAATGATCAAAAGTGAAAACGAGAACTAATCTTATACAGTCTGGTGGATTTTTTATATTTTCTAGAAGAGCTAATAAATATTAATGAGTAATAACAGACAACTGATTGTTCTTTAATAATAATTTATTGTGATAATTAAAAAATTGTCTCTCCGGAAACTTTAGTTTAACAACGTACCTAACTATTCTGGCTTGCTGATGTACTTGCGGTGCGGACCCACAATAACACAGAGGACACTCCTTGCACTTCGACGCTGATGTTCGTCAAGGCAGGAAATTTTTAGGTATTTTGGGGACGAGACGCTACTTAAAAACGGGACTGTCCCGCTCAAAGCTGGATGTATGGTCATGTTAACTGTGGCGCACGCATAAAAGAAAATTTGTTTTCACGCTTTAGAGATTTAAGTGGTTAGCTAATTATTTGTTGTCTTTATAATATTTCTTCATCTCAAGTGTTTTAATTGTCAAGCATTTCACTGTCCCGGGTGTTACTATGAAAATTTCGATTGTTTAACTATTGTATCTTTTTCGCGAACAGGGAAACTGATAAGGAAGATAAAAGTTTAAACAGTGTATACAAAGTACTCGTCCCTAATCGCTATGCTAAGCACATCCGTGCTCTCTTTCCTGAAAGGGTGAAGAACTATTTCTAGGACAGGAAAGAGTCCTCATCGCTGCGTCTGACTTACTTTGCAGTTTTGACATTTTGTTTGTCATGTAGGTTTTTTTTCAGAATGAGGGTGACAAGCGAACACCGGGTGGACTGTCACCCGGTAGTAAGTGAATGTTGTGGCCCATAGACATCTACATCTATCCTCGAATAAAAACCAAAATTCGGAAGCGTTGTCACCCCTGAGGACTAAAATAAATGCTACTAATTGTTTCTAGTAAAAAAAGACGTTTTCCTACAATGTTTTCCATCACCGCTGAGGACGTGCTACCTCAGGGGCTACCTTTTAAGACTTCACTGGAAACTACATATTGGCCAAAGATTTAGGAACTTGGAAAAATTCTTTGAAAAAAAAAAACCGTTTGTCTATTAAAAGAAAGTCTTTCAACTGGCTATTTTACCCTGCCCTATTTATTATTGCCAAAAATAGGTGTTAAAGGAAAGAGGTACAGCATAACATTGTACTAAATTAAGACTTAATTAAGTTAGAAAGAAGCCATACTGGTTACATTATCTATAGTAGTCGTCTCTTAGAACATCCACAGCAAGAAATGGGGTAACAACTTATGAGTGAGGCAGTGTGACAAGTGGGTTAGTAAAGAAAATGTTACATTTACACAACTGGTTATTAGATTACTATGAATTCCTTGAGTAATACAAAAGGGTTCTCACTTCGAAATATTCTTGTAATAAATGGGGTAGACTATACTTGATAGAACTGTACGTGATAGAGCCATGTTTCAGTTTTATTATGGGTCGTTCAACCGGGGAGGAACCACGCTCTCACAGAATGCCAGCGTAAATAGTAGATCAATGCCGCTGTGTTTCGTATGGTGAATGTAGAAAACCGGGGACCCTTACTGGATACGAGGCATTCCATCTTAGCGCCTTGGTACCAGCATCTGTAGGTATATTGATTCTTAATCGTGGATTCTATAAAAAAAGGTGTACTGATTCTAATGAAGATCCGTGGTCCTTCAGGCTCTTTTGTCACCCTTATTCTATAAAAAAATAAGTTGTGCTACAACAAAAATGAGATGACGGGAAAGGCTCAATAATCTCATAACTTACTTGGACCAGATTTAATTTATACCGTAAAACTTTGCCTGAGAGTATAAAACGAAATATTCTAATTAATAATATATTAATTCTCAAACGGGCAATAATGTTTATCAGTTTTACTTCAAGCCGTGGTGGTTTCAAAATGCTCTACCGTGAGTCTGACTCAAGCAGGTCCAATCGTAAACAAATATTGCAATTTTACTTACTATACACTGCATAGTGCATATTATCCTGGTACTTAACCGTGTTAACTTTAAAGGCAATAATTACACAGATAAGGATTGTAAATTTTCCTTTTGTGCTGTAGATCGTTATTACTTTTTAAAATTAGTTCTAATTCTTTGTATTTTTATACTGAAAGACTTTTTTTACCGTCTGGGAAAAAATAGAGTGTAACATGTGAACGCAGTAGATGTCTATAGCACTGATATTTTACAAAGAAATCTATCGAAGTTCAAATCATATCCACCCTACTTTACGAACGGTAATAAGCAATAAAAGTAGGCATCTTCGACCTTGTCACTTCGCGGGGTCATAGGCTCAAGGGCAAAGGGCAAAGTAATAGTTAAAAAACGTTCACACGTTTAATCCAAAATTTTTGTTTTTATTTTTTTGTAAAACATCAGGACCATAGACTCCGTTCACATGTTACACCCTATTTTTGAGACAGTAAAAAAGGCCAGTATATTCTTATGACTGATACCTACAGAGCAATAGACGCTTGTGAAGTTAAATATTCGTTTAGAGGGACTTGAACAGTCCGCTGGACAGCTGCAGGCAACTGCGAACAAAAAAGGCTACAGATACGTTGTCACCTCATTGCTCTCTAAAGGGGACTTGGAACCCTCATATTTCCCATAATATTTTTCGTCCTATCTTTTCCACTTCGATATTTATTAACTCTCGATAGCCATCATTTTGTGTTTTAAATTTAAGTCTACATTTATAATTAAGTTGCCCCACCAATCACAATCCTCTTTTATATTATTTCGTAACAGCATTTTTTTAAACAAATTAAAAAAATAAGGCCTACTATTGGGCACAGGCCCACTCCTGTTTCTGAGGGTTTTAAAGCAAGAAAATATCGCAGGACTACACCAATGCGTTTCGGGGAACTTCAAATGTCTTCGGAATTTTTGTTTAATTTTGGTTTTCTCCATTGAACTATAACGTACTGTTTCCTCACGACATTTTCCTTCACCGCCGCCCTGCCTCGCTTTCAGAGTGTTGAGTACCTTTTTTTACCTACTTTCCAATTTTATAGACTTTAATACATATGTCCTTTTATTGTTACTACATATTATTATATTGGTGTAGATAAAATAAAGAATATGATATATTTAACGGATTGTTGGTTAAAATTTATGAGAAAATATCCGTAGTATGTTAAAAACTGTAGTTGCATAGGAACTTCTTTGGTAACTATTAATTCCTCAAGTAAAAAATAAAACATAAAATACTATGTATAAAAATTAAGTCGTAATTAATGCCACCCACGGTAAAATAAACGGAGTGATTTTTTTAAATGCTTTTTATTATCATCTGCAGTGTTACTGACGGTGTATTGACCGACAGTAACTGTTAATTGTTTAATTAAGTTGCATGGACCTTGAATAAAAATTTTATCACAAAACATGAATGCAGATGAACTTGTTCTGATTTTGAACTTTCACGGCTAAAATAACTTAGCAACTTTACGTCGTCATTGGCGTATTCCCAGCGCAACGCCATGTGATTGGTCGAAATCCTAACGGGTCGCCCGTGACTGCATTCACTCCCGTCATCTTGAACGCACAGTCGGCGCCATCTTCATTTCAGTCAGTCCGCCGCGAACAGTCGTGGGGGGTAGTGTAGTTGTTATTGAAATTCTAACAGCACCGGACACAACATAGCCGGTTATTTATTCCTTGTATAAATTAGCTATTTTTAATCAGTGTAAGTAAAGAAACAATTGTGTCTGTCAGATTATTAGCGGGTTAGATTTAATTATAAGTGGATAAGTGTTTTCGCGATCAGCGACTTCAATTCTTTGGTGTGTGTTTACTGAGGTAAGTTTTTATGGAAGTCTTTTCGCGTGAACCAAGAATGCGTGGTTGTCGGGTGGATGCCCGGCGCGACGGCAGGGGAGCGCTACTCGAATCGATTGTCCCGACTCCCGGCGTACTCGAGCGTCTATATACCTATACCCTATAATGGTGTTTAAACACCCTCGCTCTCTTTACGCACTGCTGTATACGCCATTTTCATCACAAGAAATAAACCACATTACGTGTAATAAATTCCTTGTAAAACTATAATTAACTTGAATAAGGTACCTTTTTGAATAAGTTCAAACTGTTTTGTACTTTTATTTTAAACAATTTCTTTCAAAAGTGCCCTGTGTAAGAATTGTGAGAATAATTTTTTTTTTATTTTTTTTTTAATAGAATGAAGTGATAATGACAGACGAACGTACAGTCTACCTGATGGTAAGTGGTTACTGCAGCTCATGGACATCTATTACGAACTTCAAACAAAGAAGACTAGAGATGCGTTATTAGTTGTTACCTCTGAGGACTCGGACGTGGTAGAGCCATACTGCAGCTCTATTAGTAGTACAGTTGTAGCACGAAGGGGTCGGCTCGACCGGGGTAGGACCACGCTCTCACAGAATACCACCGTAAAATTGCATGCAGCTTAACGCTGCTGTTTCGTATGGTGGTGAGTGTAGAGATCCGTTTTTTACTGGAAACGACGCATTCCATTTTAGTCTTCATGAGTGACAACGCATCTGCATTTTGATTCATAATCGAAGATAGATGTAGATATCTATGGGGCACAGCATCCATTTAAAATCAGGTGGAATGTGTGCTCGTTTGTTACTATATCCCATTAAAAAAAGGTTCACACAGCCTGTAAAAATCCTGGCTCTCTATACGTTCAGACCAGAACCGGAACAGGTGAGAAGATGGCCTATCTACCCGGAGAGACTCTTAGATAAAAAAACGAGTCCTATCACTTGGAAAACGTTCTAAATTCTTTTGATATATAAAGCCATTACAACTATGAAAGAACCTAAATCTACCCACATTATTTCTTATTGCGTTGTTATTTTTTTAAATGGGATGCTATGATTTTTGCTATGCTTACGCTTTGAAACGCAGAAAAGATTTACAATAACATAAAAAAAATGCAAAATTTACAATAACTTTTGCCTTAAACCACGTTGCGGATTCTTGTTTGACAAAATTAACTAGAACAACATGAAGCATGCGTGAGATTTTTGCAAACATTGGATCTATCGAATTGCATCGATGCATACCTATTAGCTATTTAGTATTTATAATTAATTATTTACTGTTACAGCCTATGCTATGTACCTAAAATTTCACAAGGACATACGCCAGACGTGAAACAATTATTTGTAGACTATACTTATTCGAACCCGTGACCCTTAGCTCTGCAAGTCAATGCTAAGCCACTGCGGCACGGAGTCGTCCGGAACTGTATGTTTCCCTCTGTCGCGTCTTACGACACCCACGGGACGATATGGGGTGGTGGATATTCTCACACTGCCATTACAATTTATTTTGAGTTAATTAGAAATGTTTTATAGTTATTTAAACCGCAAAATAAAATCCGAATGTATCGTATATAAGGATATTAACTTTTGCAGTTTAAATAAAACTATTTTTTACAGATTTTTTTCGCGTATTATTAACTTATTTTATATTTCCGACGTTTAGTGGACAGCACCCATGGTCACGGGGATGACTGAAGTATTCGATTTCCCAATGATCTAGTTAACCACGGCTACCTCCAGATTAAAATTATAAATTTTTGTTCTGCTCTACGCAGTATGAAATTATAGTAGGTACCTTGAAGTCTTGGAGTTGTATGGTAGAGTTGGGATTTAATTTTATTAATTATAGGATCCCAAGCAGATTGTAGCATCCAGTCATCTTCTCTATGGAATTTAGGGTGTTTTTTTTTATTTCTCTATCCTTGCGAATCATCCTCGGAAGGAATCGGTGTTCTCTGTAGTGAGGATTTGTAGTTTATCAAATCTGATAAAGTGATCCTGTACGTGTTTCTCAGACTGGCAGACAAAGAGTTGATTCTGCACATTAGTTAATATACGCGATAAAATCCGTAAAAACTAGTTTTATTTAAACATTCGTTAAACATACGAAATCTTATTTTACATATTATTCTGTTTCATTTATGTCAGAATTTATGCATTATTTTGTATCTTACTTGTTACGTGTTTTAATCGTGTCAGCATATAATATCACTGCGCTTATCGCATTGATTGCATCTCTATAATAATGCATCACAACAATTTCAACATTTAAGCGGACATTCATTCTTGATGTAGGCCAAACCCGCGCATACCTGGCTCGCCGAAATGTCAACATTCCCGACTCCTGGACGTCGTAACGGAAGCGAGCGAGTGTATATGACATTTTGCTTAAAGTATAACATCTTTACTAGAAATAAATTTTCTAAATAATAAACAAATGTTTTGAGACTTCTCCAAGAGACGGGAAGATCGGATTTTTTAGTAATTTTGTATAAATCATAGTAGACTTATACGTGGCAGAGCCACGCTGAAGCTATATTATGGTTGTAGCACGAATAGATCGGCTGGACCGGGGAAGGACCACGCTCCCACGGAATACCAGTGTAAAATATCAGCTCAATACTGCTGTGTTTCGTATGATGAGTGTAGAGATCCGGAGACACTTTTTTAATAAAAACTAGGCATTCCATCTTGATCGTGACAACGCATCTGCGTTTTGATATTTAATCGGGGATAATTGCAGATGTGTGGGTCACAGCAACCACTTATCATCAGGTGGACTGTGTGCTCGCTTGTCAGCCTTACGGGCCTATGTCCAGCAGTGCACTTTTGATGGGCTGTAATGATGTCATTATATTGGAATACACCAGGCGTGACTGCAGTATTATTTTGCCGTCTCGTGCCACTATCGATTTCAAGGGCGACAGTTTGATGCCCCTGGCACACTGCCAGGAACTCGCAACTTTAGATAAACTTCAAATTTAAAGCATATATAAACTTAATTGTAAGTAAGAGGCGTGGTAGCTCAGGGGTAAGCCCTTGCTATGAATTTACACAGTACGCGAGCAACCCGGGTTCGATACCCATCGTCACCAATGATATACTTGATTGCAAGTTTAGGTACATATTTATTCGGCGGTGAAAGATAACATCGTAAGAATACTTGCATTTTTGGGTAATTAAAAAAATCTAAGTCAGTCCGCAACACACGTGTTGGGACACGCGGTGGACACTTCCTCGTCCTTAGACTCTCTCAGTCAGAAGAGATCACTGCCAACAAAGGGACGTATGTAGGCTGAAACTTACTACTTGAAAATATCTTTGTTTTGACACCACAAGTTATAGTTATCATCATTAAAACATCTGTGAACATTTTTACTGAATGCGGGCATCTAATTCGAAAACGTAGCGTCTAGGTACTTTGGGAATTATTAATCACAGGGGAAATGCAAATCATTAGTGGTGAACTATAGCCAAAGCTGTCCCCACAATAGGTAATAGTGGTCGCTGTGATACTGAACTTGTAAACCTGAAAAGCTGCTCGCACATAGTAAGACATTCAGACACCATAGAGTTCAATTAAATTCAGTTTTTATAATAAATAATTATGACTTAGAAAAAGTAAAAACCGACTTAATTGTTAAAAAGGAAGTTATTTATTGGGAACCCTTAGGGGTGGAATTTTTTCGCCAAATTTATATGAAACCACCGTTGAAGTATAAAATGCCTATTTTATAAAAAAAAACATTAAAATATGTTTTCAATCTGCGATGATATCATATAAAATTACTTAAACAATAGTCCAATATGAAACTTTTTCCCCTAATTTCCACTTTTAGGGGCGGAATTCTTTCTTCAAAATTAATTGGGGATCCCCCCATGACGTAAAGCCTATTTGTTAAAAGAAGAATTTACATTAAAATTACAAAACATTAAAATCTGTTCACAATCTGGGAAGATATCGCCTAACATACATATACAAAAGAGAACATAGTACACTAGAATTGAGAACCTCCTCCGTTTTGAAGTCGGTTAATTTATGGTACACTAGTTAACGTTAAAATGAAAATAAAATAAAATATACTATATGAAAGGTACTATAGGTGGTCCTCTGGAAGCGATTCCTTCTAGACAACTCTTGCACTAAGAACTGTTTACAACAAAATGATAATAGGGAAGGTATTATTAGAGCCATAAATTAGAGAATTTAAAAATATATAAAAATACAAGACGATGATAGTTAAGTATAGATGAGATACAACGAGGCAAATTAAGATAGAAAATAATTATAAATAAATAATAGAAAAAAGTTCAAATAACAATCTTTTATTCCTTTCAACTATCCTTGATATTAAATAGTCATATGTAACATAATACGTACCTATTAAATGCTGTTGTTATCCGATATAGAAGAGATTAAATGCAGTGATTAAAGGCCTGTCTAGTGCCCGACTACCACGACGGTGCGTTTTATACGCATCGACGCTGTAATCGATACGACGCGTTAGCTTTTGTGGCGAGACATCGACTATACGTCGATTGTATTGTATATTGAAATTACTTTAACGGCTTTGGCTTATAATAATAAATTATAGTATTAAAATAAGATTTCAAGCGACAAAACGTTGGATTCTTGATTTTTAGGCGCTGGTGAAAACTACAGCAAAAGATTCCGTTATATAGATACCGGAATAGACGGATAGATATACGCGAAGCTAATAAAAGTGTCTGTAAAAAATAGAAAAAGGTATTTTTATAAAAGTAAAGTTGAGATATATATTCGTCCAAATACAATCTGAGCGTCTTCAATGTAAGAGTGTATATTCTTTTGTTATGCAAAGAGAGTATGATTTACCATCTAAGGCTGCATCACCACTTACCATCACGTGGAAGTGTGGTTAAGCAATGGCTTATAATTAATAAAGTAAAGTTACAGTGCACCTGAGAGTTAGCCTAGTTTACATTTTAGGAAGTGACAAGTGCGAG